AAACATTGAATAAGCAAAGGCAATTACAACATATATCAACAAAAGTGTCATTAAACATCAACAAATGAATCAAATGTATTTTATGTTCCAGAGAGCCTCTGTGCTTGACCGACTTCACTAAGTATACAAGTCCACACAGAATGTATCAATGAAACCTTAAATCCATAGATAATCTACGTAATTTGTATTGAGGAGAACCAATTCATTTATTGACGAACGGGTTAACACTTTTCCACTTCTCTGTTATCTTAATTGTGTCAAAAATAAAAAGGAGTATGGCAACGAAGGCCTTAAAGTGGCCTTATAAATCAAACAGAGTTACATCATATGCACATATGGCAAAATCCAAGATACTTTATTCATATGATTTGCGCATGTGACTTTGGCCCTTTTGATTAAATTACTACCCTTCGTTTTAGATTGAAAAGATAAATTATGTTTAATTTGCGGATAATACAGTCCTTTTCCGTCATGAATCTAAAACTAATGTGTCTTCGAAAACTTCCATTGGCGGATATTTACAAAATTGTTGTAAAATTCTGAAGAAAAATGCTTAAAATTTGGACTTTTTACGAAATGGGAAGGTTGAAATCATCATGTTTTTAAAAAAAGTTGGCCGAAAACAGGTAAGTTAAACCTTATTTCACTTTAAAATTCAACCTACAAGGTGTTTCCCTATATGCGGACAAATCATTAATCATATCTTGTTGTATCTTAATTTCTATTTTGAATCTTGCTCTTTTTTTCGTTTTTTTATATAGCAATAATACTACGGTTACGCTTCCGATTTTCAAACTAAAAAGGCCGAAAGTTTTCAAAGTAGACAATGTCCATTTGTACACGAGCAGAAGCCAAAAAAACTTCCACAATTCACCTATATGCGGACAAATTGTTGATTCGATATAGGAATTAGCATATTGGCATTTTTATTTAAGGGGCATGTGTAATCCTATTGTAATGGCTGCCGTCATGATAAGGCAAAATGGCCGCTATGCAAATAAGCAAAGTACCCCTAATTTTGCCATATGAAAAAACCTATATTTACGATCTTATATGCAAATTTAAATAAACTAAACACTGTTGCTGTCTGTGTTCGTTTTATCAACGTCTCCAAACAGATGTTATTTAAAAGTTGTTAGCTAAACAAAAGTATAACAGAAATATCAAACTCCAAGGCAAACTCAAAAAGTAGGAAGCCACAAAAACGGACGAAATCAAACGCTATCAATCAACGGAAGAAGTTAAAAACAACTGCCATATCCCTGACTTGGTACAGTCATTTTCTTCAGAAAATAGGGGTTTAAACTAGGGGTTTAAACTTGGTTTTATAGCTAGCTCAACCTCCAACATGTATTAAAGTTGTTTGTAGTTCCGTTTTGTTGACAAAATTGGGAGAGCAACCCCAACAGACATAATAGGTTAATTTGAAAATAATTCGGATCCAGCTGCCAATATTGTGTAAACATTCATCACAGACATACATGCACAACACAACTGACTAAAAAACCCAAAATAAAAGAAATACCAAACAGACAAATGAATCTCACAAAGACGAAAACGAATAGGTGTAAATAGTAAATTTTACAATAACGTCAACTAAAAATGTTTTTGTCGTTGATAGTAAATGCCGCATATTGTATACACTTTCTCGATAAAGAAAACATTAAGTAAATATAAATACAATGGTTACCAAAATAGAAACAACACTGTAAAATTCCACCTGCACCAGGAATACTCAAAGTTAAAAAGTCAAAAATCCGATAGCGGGATAAATAAATTTGGAAGTTAAATAACAAGAAAATACCGAACTCCAAGGGAAATTCAAAACGTAATGTCCTTTATAAAATGGCAAAATCAAAAGTTCAAACACATCTAACGAATGGAAACAAACTGAGTACCAAGTCACGTCAAAAGTCATACCACCAAAATAAACATAATAACACGAAGACAAATAACGGTGAAACTAAAATAAAAAGACACATAACTTCAACACTTAGAATCTATAACTAAAGACCATATTGTTATATTTGTAAAATAGACACTGAATATTTATATTTTAGGTGTTGGGCATTTTCGATGACATTTTTGAGATAAAAGACGAGATGTTCTTTGAAGATACCATGGCTCATTATTGTTTTAGCTCAGATGTTTAGCAAAGTCCGCAAGCTCTTGAAAATCGTAAAGGTTGAGAAATGTAACTCCATGCGGGTGAAGTTGATATATTGGAACTATAGAAGGGAAACATTTATAATTTCAAAATTGAAATTGTCTGGTTGTCATGGATTCTGGTACTGTGATGACCGCTGTTGTCATATTCGATGTAAATGTCTTGAAATTTGGGGAGGAAGTTGTATCTGTCATTCCTAATCTATTGTTCTAGTTCTAGTATTAATGGGACCTTATTAGAAAAGTTTGAACTATTAATAAAAAGAAACGTCATCAATATACCTTAATGTGAAATTAGATTATCTTGTTTCCTTGATCTTCTTGCACAAGTGTCTGACGGAATTCCCGATAATATGAACATCAGAAAAGGTCGACCAGGAGTGGTGCAAAAATGGTTCGCATAGGAACGCCGACAACCTCCTAAACAATTATTCTCCCAAATTAAACAAATGTGTCAATGAGAAACTCCAGCATACTGATCACTTGCTCTACGGTGTAGACGGTTTTAATTTCGGGCTCATCGTTAACAAAATATGTAGAATTATATCCTAAAACAATAAATTTGTAGAGCATGGTACATGTAGTTTTTATGGAGGAAAGCATTAAGGAGTATTTTTTTTTCATTTTTCATGTGGTGTATTGCTGTCAAGGATAGAAACCCCGAAGGTTTTGAAAGAAGTTATTTAAAAAAAAACCGGGATTTTAAATTTTCAAGAAGTTTTAAAGAATCCACATATAGTTAATGCCACTATGCAAGTGAACAGTGTTACAGTAATTCTGTAATCCCTCTTGTACATCGAACTTTTGGTTATTTCAACGGACAATTCCTGTGAAGAAAATGCAGATGAGTCCGCAATGTACCGTTATTTGAACGCAGCCTTATGAAGTTTCGGTAAACACAAACAAGATTTGTTATTTATTACAATATGCAATGAGGGCACGAAGGACTTGTGGTTTGCAAAGATCTGATCTTTATCAAAGGCTACGTTACATGGAACTACCCACGTGTTTATTTATTCGTAATTCTTTGATAAGACACTCGTTGTAATAGAATGTACATGCAAACACAATATTGTTTGAAGCTCTATTCGCAGGAAAAATAACATACTTGCGGTGAGGAGACTTCAGACATTTCATAGCCTCTTTTTCTCTGAATACGGACTTAGATCGAACATTTACACAGTTTGTCAACTTATGAATTCTTCGTTTTAACCCATTCTGACAGAAATTCTAGCTCAATCTTTTCTCGTTTTGTCCATGTTCTTGTGTGATCCTGGACGGAATCCATTATTATTGCAAAGTTATGATTCTAAATTGATGTGTTGTGGCTGTCTAAATTTGGGACCATGAGATATCACATCCTGTTGAATTATATCTGGATCACCAGTAATAACATGGCCAGAGGGCTTATAATTATAGGGAGAGTGGGACAGTCAAATGCAAGGGAATTTTTCAAGTATTCTTCTAAATCAAGATATTGCAGAGCTTTTTTATAGTTAGATATTTTAGGGTCAATTGCTACTTTTAGGGACAGACAAGAAAAGAACGCGGATTTTAGATGTGACTTCTTTTTGACGAAGAACGTTGTTGATGTTAAAAGCACCAATTTCTTTATTTGAAAACAGAATGAAAGGAATTTTCTATTTTTATCGTACTATAGTTCTTATTTTACTGGTTTCAATAGACAGAAAACAGCTGCACCACAAATTAAACTTACTAGTCTGAATATTTGGGAAAACATATCGTTACATCCATTGGCACGGGCATAATCTCTTACACATTTATAAAAGTTTACATGCAGTTACAATAAAAAGGTTCGAATGTAATGTAACACAAGCGGTACCTGGAGATGTAAAAAAAACGTCATCAAAGTTCTCAGGGAATGATCAAGATTTGGAAGACATTTTTAGTTTAGGACAATGGTTATATTATTGACCATGACTATGCTTGGGTCTTAAGCTAGTGTTGAAAAACTAATAACATTTACATCACTGCAGGTTGGATAAAACAGCTGTCCTATACCTTTGATATTATCATTACAACCATATGACATTGCAGTACATTATTATCTTATCCAGAAATTCTATCTGTTCGGAACTGAGTACTATCAATATTATCAGATTGCATGTTTTGATGCACCGGTAATGTGCATTTCTTTCTGGACAAAATGGCTACACCCTTCTTCTAAAATAAAAGTGTTATAAAAAGATGTATACATATGCTAACATAAAAATAATGGTGGTCCTTGCATGTGGCCAATTTTATTTGAAACTTTTAAAAAGTTATGCAATAATTAGCCAACATTGTTATTTTCTTTATAAGTATAAAAAAAAGATGTGGTATGATTGCCAACTCTCCACAAGAGACCAAATTACAAGAAATTAACAACAATAATTCACCGTACGGCCTTCAATAATGAGCAAATCCCATCCCGCTTAGTCAGCTATAAAATGCCCCGAAATGACAAATGTAAAACAATTCAAACGAGAAAACTAACGGTTTAATTAATGTACAAAAAATGAACGAAAAATAAATATCTAACAGCAACAAACGACAACCACTGAATGACAGGCTCCTGACTTGGGACAGGCACATACAAACAGAATGTAGCGGGGTTAAACATGTTAGCGGCATCCCAACCCTCCCCCTAACCTGGAAACATTATGACGTCATAACGATATCACAATAGTTAAAATGAGCCAAAATTTGTTGAATTAGTTTTTGTTATTTATATTTTTAGATATTTTATCATTATTGACGGAGTTTTAACGATTGACATTGTTCAATTTTCCTGTGGTTTTTTAATTGCCTATAAAATAAATTTTAAGCTCATGTCAAGTTGTATAGTGTTTGCCAACCTTACTGTTGATAAATATACTTTCCAACGATGTTATTGCTGCGGCTTGGCGTCATCTTGGTATTAGGTATGTATTCATACTCATTTTACAAGTTTTGTATTAATTATATGCTGCCTTGTGATGTTTCCAACATATCCTAAAGAAATATATTGCTTAAAATTGCTAATACAGGAGCTGTAGGATATTTTTAAAGATAGGTAAGAATAAAAATTACAAAATGATGAAATCGCTGATAATCTTTAATTGAATAAATTTTAAATATACATATTACATACATTGCTTGCACGAAAACTTAGATTAGATTCAACAGTAGTTTATCCACTTTTAAATGTCCTAAATCAATTTAGAAAATAGATGTAGATATAAAAAAAATAGTTAATTGAATGCAATCTAAAATGTTTTTGAATATAATAATTTAATTTATTCAGAACTTTATCATTATTAATGTCTTGTAAATAATAATTAATCAGCTCTGATAAATAATGTGATGGCACATAACTTTCATATTCTCATATTCAGTTAAGTGATTGACATGTTCTATCTTATGTTTTTAAATTTGAACCTCCGATAAATGCTGATATTGATTTGGTTGTTATATAAGAGAACAAATGCTGCTTAAAAGTCTTTTGAACAAACTGTGATAACGTTGAGGCAAACATTTACGACATCTGATAACTCTGGACCAAACACCATAATATCTGGTCAGTTCTTTCGTATTGCTTATTAAAAGCGACATAGGATTTTCTAACGTCATTAGTATCATATGATAAAGCAATTGAATTGTTCCGTTCCGAACACAAACTGAATCAAGACAAGTAACGCATATCACACATGATCAAATGCAAGAGGGCGACGTTTTTAAAGTCGCTCTATTTGAAGATTATCGCACCATTACAAAACAAAACTTGCAATCAATTTCATTCACAATTGTTTCAATTTACAGGCATAGGTTTGGAAGTCATACACGAAAGTATAGCCAAACGACAAGCAGATCAATATCCAAGAAAAGCCAGGCCGGCTGTTAACGCCCTTGTCCAGCTGGAATGTGTGATGACGGTACAAGTTGTTGGAAAGATTCATATGGAGGAGGTGCAGGTCGTGTTCCGGATAAAGCAAATTGTCCTCCTAATCAACGCGACGACGGGACAAGTTGTTGGCTAGATAGCTATGGGAGAGGTGCGGGCAGAACACCTGATAAAACAGCATGTCCTTCTGGACTACGAGATGATGGTACCAGTTGTTGGAGCAATGCACATATATATGGAAAGGGATGTTGTTGCACAATCTTTGGATGCTGTAACAACTGTCGCGGTGGTTATCATGATGATGGATGCACGTGCAGAAAAACAAATGTAGGCATAAAAGTGTCGCTCTTTCATCGACAAGGATGTAGATCGAACAAAGAAATGAATGGACGTCTTTGCTATCCAAAATGCAGAGCTGGATACCATGTAAGTGGATGCTGTATTTGTACTCCAAATGTCGGCCCAGGTATACGAAAAACACCTGCACAAAGGCAAAGTTGTCGTAGTAACGAAGAAAGACTCGCCTAACTGTGTTACCCTAAATGTAGAGATGGTTATAAACCTAAAGGATGCTGCGTTTGCGAACAAAATGACGGACCTGGTATAAAGGTCACACTACCTCAGAGACAGTATTGCAAAAATAATGAAATCAAACTGAAAGGCGTTTGTTGGGAGACATGTCAAAGAGGCTACAGTGATAATGATAAGGCGTCTGTAAGAAAATGTAGAGAGAACTAATGAACAGACAATAAAAACCGCAGTTGTCATAATATATGACTAAATAGAGATGTCGGCAAACGGCAATGAAACGACAAAACTAACCATGATATATCTAGAGGTTAATATACAATATTAAACCAACTTACTTTAAACGTTTCTCTTAATACTTTGATAGATACAAACATTTGGTTTACAAAAGTAAAGAGATGTGGTATGATTGTCAATGAGACAACTATTCACCAAAGTTAAAATGAAGTGGACGTAAGCAATTATAGGCAACCGTGCGGCCTAAAACAATGGGACAACCCATATCATATACTAGTAGTCGGCAATAAAAGGTCCCGACATGAAAAATATAAAACAATTTATTGAGAAAACGAACGGCCTAATTTAGTACAAACCTAAAAACAAATATCACAGATAACATGAACCAATGACAACCACTGAACTATAGGCTCCTGATTAGTGACAGTATGAATAAGAAACTGTGGTATGAGTGCCATTGAACTCTCAATCCAAGTCACAGTGTACTGTGGATTCATTTATTTTCGTGGGTACCAATTTTCGTGGATTGAGATGAACTTGCATTTTCGGGGATAGTTGATTTCGTGGTTTTACCAATGTCTGCATACAACCTTATAGAAAATGTGTTTTTCGTTGAACATTTAAATTCGTGCTTTATCTATATCCACGAAATCCACGAAAATTGGTACCCCACGAATAATAATGAATCCACAGTATAAATGTTAACAATTATAGGTTAAAATACGGTCTTCACCACTGAGCCTTGGCTCACACAGAACAGCAAGCTAAAAGGGCCCCCAAAACGACTAGACATTGTAAAATAATTAAAACATGAAAACCGACGGTCTAATCTATATAAAAAACGAAAAACAAGAACACCTATGAACCACACCAACAAACGACAACCGATGAACAACGGGCTTCTGACTTTGGACAGGTGCATAAAAATGCAGCGGGTTCAAAGGTTTAATAAGACGCCAAACTTCACCCTAACCTGAGACATTAGTGTAAAATTACAACATTAAATGACACACTATACCCTCAGCCTACCCTAAACCTGGGACAGTGGTGTAACAGCACAAAATAAGAACATACAAAAAAAATCAGTTGAAAAAAGCTTAACTCATCTGATTGATACAGAGCAGAAAACATTAAACAAAAAACGTGACAGGGTATTAATTAATTCCTCATTAATTCCTAACAACTGGCCGACCGCGCAAGACCCTTATGGGTAGCCAAGGTCGTTAACCCTCCCTCCCTCATCATCATCCAAACAACAACTCTTAGAGAACTCGCGCTTACTGACAGTTAGTTTAAAGCCAATAACAACTAATAAAAAATCATGTATCTAAGACTAAAACACCAATCAGCCTAAGACGTCTTGAACCCTTTAGCTCATTGTACATTGTACATGAAAACGTTGAAGAGCTGCTATTACTAAAACTTACAGTTTACCAGAAAAGGTATCGATCCAGGGTTGATAATAACAAAGAATTACATTGAAAAAAACAGGCTTATAATTTAATATGTCAGACTTGCGTTTGGTCTACATGAGATTCATCAAATTCATTAGTTACGTCGTTTGTTGCTGTGTTTAACATTTAGTTTTCTTTTTTTTTTTTTTTTCTTCATTAATCAGACCGGTAATTTTTCTCGTTTGGATTCTAACATTAACTTTTGTCATTTTGGGGACTTTAACAGATTGCTCATTGTTGAAGGCCGCCAGTTGATCTTTAACTTCTACGTCACTAGGTATCTTGTTGTGACTTATCTCATTGGCAATCATGCCATATCTTCTTATTTTTATATTGCCATTTTCATAAAATAATCAAAATCTAAACTAAATCCATTAGTTCTGTCTTTACAAATTTCACTAAGATCTGAGGTACTTTATAAACTAGCACTTACGAAAGAAGAGGAACTTCCCATTTTAGAACTACAAAGGCTTTGGTAACATATGTTTGTAATGTGTTACGTATTAGAATTTCGTAAGAGTCAAGTGTAGATGTCTTTACTTAAATCAACAATAGACTATAAATGAAATACAAATTAACGTATTTGTTCTATGTTTCTTATTTTATTCAAATGTTTTGATATGCATATCATTTTCATATGATGAAGACATGATAATTGTCATTTTGCTTGGTTTAACCTGTTACCTATTCTAACAGCGGATTCGGACTTCTTTTAAACTGAGTGTTACTGTGCGTATTGCTATGTGATTCTACATTGGCTAGAGGTATAGGGAGAGGGTTGAAATATCACACAACATGTTTAACCCCGCCGCCTTTTTTTACGGCTATCCCAAATAAGCTTCTGGCCTTTGTTAGTCTTGTATGTTTTTTTTTTTTTTTTAATTCTGGTCATTTATATGTTTATATGTTTTATATGTGAGGTCCATTTTTGCGGAATAAGTACACTTTTTTGTTTAGGGACTATCTGAAACCCGCCTCCGGGTGCGGGATTTCTGGCTGTTTTGAAAACGCATTGGAAGCCTTTTGCTGTTTTCCAACTAAACAATTAGTGCATTTCAACAAAGGAAAATCAAATGTCAGTGTCAAGGTACAACGTATGTTTTTGTCACAAAATTAACATTATGGTTGAATACTTCATATTACGGATGCATATTTTGACTAAAACACTTAGATAGACGGATAAACCCGTTTACTGATAAATATGGCTATACAATCTTGTATTTCTCAAAAGCTTTCTTTATAGCTATTTATATTTATATATCTATAGCTTTTATCTGTCCTTGATAAGTGCCCCCATATGCGTCATATACAGGTCTAGCATCATTCAAGGACAAGTTTTTTTTTCAATTAATTGTAATTAAGTTGCGTTAAAATTTTGATATATTGATATAAACAATATAAAAGGATCAAACACAAGGACCTTTTCATTCTTTATTTGGTCAATGATATGCTCCAGTCTTCACTACACTCCCCCCCCCCCGAAAAAAAATCAATAGTTAATTTTGAGTGATATCTTTAACGTAGGTCATTATAGTGAAAATAACACTTAATATGCCACTTTACACGCTTTGAGTGCACAAATGTGATAAACTACAATTGCATTCTGTGTGTATTTGTCAACTGGTTTAAGAGTATAAAATGGAAAAAAAACAGTTCATTATTTCATGCGTACGAAGCGCTCCTGGATTATGCTTTATCAGGAACGCTCTGTGCCGAATATTCAAAAAGCAATATGCATAAGAACAGAAACAGTCAAAGAGCAATATGACCAAAAAATGTTTTGACAAAATAATATGCAAACACTCTAAGGTCAGCTTTGTCTAAAGGAGTTGAAACCTAAATTTCTTACTAATTTCTAGGCTTTTGGTATTATAGTATTTTCCAAATATAAGGAAATTGTGGCATAACAAATTATTGGAGAAAAAATGTTGCGATTAAAATTAAAATAAAACTCAATGTTTATAAAAAAAAGGACATGCAGTATGATTGCCAATGAGACACATATCAACCTAAGTTCAAATGAAGTGGATGTAAACAATTATGGACAACTGTACGGCCTTCAACAATGAGAAAACCCCAATACCGTATGGTCGGCTATAAAAGGCGTCGACATGAAAAAAAAAATGAGACATTTCGATTAAGAAAACAAAAACGGCCTAATTTACGAGAAAAAAATGACAGACATGAACCAACAACAACCTGTGAACTACCGGCTCCTGAATTGGGACAGGTACATAAAGAATGTATCGGGATAAACATGTGTGTGAACGCTCAACCTTCCCCTTACCTGGGACAGTGGTGTAAAAGTACAAGATAAGACAAACTATAAAAATCAGTTGAAAAAGGCTCAACTCATCAGATGGATACAAAGCAGGCATGGGGTAATGCAAATTTGTAATTGTAATGCATGGTAATGCATTACATTTTTCCAAGTAATTGCATGTAATGTGTAATGCAGCAATTTGTGCATTACATGTAATTGTAATATAATGCATTACTTTAGCAAAAAGATGTGTAATTTCATGCATTACATGGCATTACATGTCATTACTTTTTTCACATACTACATCTTTAACATATTGTTGGAGTTTTAACTAAACCAAATTTAAGATTTCTTGATTAACTAAGAATATATTAGTCATTAGAATATATTCTTTATTTCATCTTATTTCATACATTTTCCTGCATAAAAAGATTGATATATGAAAAGCATAGCTGTATTGTTGTCATAAGATCAAAGAATATCTTTGTTTTGCTTAAATAAAAGATAATTAAACTTTGTTATAAAACACTAATTAGTTTGTTGAACAATCAATATTTTCACCATTTAGACAATTGTTCATTAATTAAGGTCTATGTTTATTTTATAATTAGGGAAGTAATTCACAGTAACTAAATATTTCGTTTAAAATTAAAAAAAAAAACAACAAAAAATATATTCATTAAAGTAAAGTCAACATTAAGTTAAAATAATTAAAAATTGTAAAAGTCTAATTAAATAGACTTTTTACATGTATACTTATATTCAATTCATGGAACAGTTACTGCGTATGCTAGAATCTATTGTGACTTCTAGTTGTTTTTCAAAATGTTTAATTTTTCTATTCACTAATAAAATTTTCAAATGTAATGTGTAATTCAAGGCATTACTTTGCAAAAGTAATTGTAATATAATGCATTACTTTAATAAATGCATGTAATTGTAATTGTAATATAATGCATGGTTTGGTCAAAGTAATTGTAATATGATGCATTACATTGCAATGTAATTCGCTCCATGCCTGATACAAAGCAGAAAAAACATCTTACAAAAACACAAAGTGGACTTGGACGGGTACGTATACATTCTCACAACAAAAAGACACTTAAGTACAGATTTGCGAGTATTCGCAGTTACTGACAGTTAGTTAAAAGCCAATAACAACTAATAAAAAAAAACATGTATCTTAGACTAAAATATCAATCAGTACACATCCAACATCTAATGGATTTAGTATAAAGACGTAATTGACAGTTAGAGAAAAACATGACCTTGTGCAGT